CGGGGGATGGCGGCTGCCTCGCCCCAGGCCCCCTGACTGGTTTTTTGGCTTCAAAATCCGTTAATTGGGGTCAATATTCATTAAAAATTGGCATTGCTACACTCTTAGAGCAGCCTTTCCTTACCGCACTGGATGTGATGCTCTAAGTGCTTCCAGTGAGCAGATCGCTTCCCTCCTTGGGGCCCTGCCGCAGTCCAGGGGGAGGATGTCAAACGCTGGTGCCAGGCTGGTCCCGCTCTTTAATCGCGGTCGGTTTCTTGTAGTGAAGCTAAATGGTGGCCGCCACGTCCAGGGGATACTGCGGGGCTTCGATCCCTTCATGAACCTCGTCATCGATGAGTGTGTGGAGATGGCGTCAGGAGGACAGCAGAACAACATCGGCATGGTGGTGAGTGCTGCTGCGAAAACAAGGGGAAGGGGACCGGTGTGTATAGAACCAGCTGGATGTTGAGAAGGGGATGTGTTTGCTGTAATCATGGAACAATCTGTGGGGTTTGAGAGTTAAAATCAAGTCAGCATTCTTCTTTGTGGGGGGAATCTATGTGGAGTTTTGGCCCAGGATTGGCTTTTTAGTAAAAAAAACCAAAAAAAACATGCGGGAGGGGACCTGCAGAGCGGTGGGGAACCAGCGTCGCACCAGCTGCTCTGATCTTTCACTTTTAGGTGATCCGAGGAAACAGCATAATTATGCTGGAAGCCTTGGAACGAGTCTAGCGCCGGAGAAACCTGCGTCGGTACCGGCTGTGACGAGTCCTCACCCACCTGTTCTGGTTACTCTGAATCTGCCGCCAAGTGTCCCCAAGCATAAACTTATTTTTCTTTTTGTTAAATAAATTTTGTAATGGTTGATATAACTCCTGTCGGTTCCTATTTTGGGTAACGGGGCCGCACTGGTTCTTTGGGGCAGTGGGGGCGGCTGTTAATCCTGCTCCCCGGGGCTTTAAAACTCTGAAAAGACTTTCAGGAGGCTTTAAGCAGATGTTAAATTTAACATTAAATTAGTGTTAAATATATTTAAGTAGATGTTAAATTGGGGTCCTTCCCCTTCGTATCTTGTAAAGAACAATCTACAAAGTTGCATCGTGTTTGTTCAGTGGGTTATTGGTTCTTAATTGGCGGGAAAAATGGTAAAAAGAGTGATGCAGAGTATTTGTGCCGAGCTGGGCTACCTGAAAGTAGAATTTTTAAATTTTTTTTATAATGTTTTTTACTCTCACTTCTGCATCACTGAGTTTTTGAACAGAAAGAGGTGCCGAGTGCTTCCTCAAGCACCACTAAGGGTCCCAAAACCAGTAGAAAGTGAGTTTTGAGCAGAGCTCAAATGGTTTTCTCAGAAAATTTGGAGCGATCACTGCACCACGCATACAAATCCTGAGCTTCCCTTTCCGAGTTTACTGAGCTGGCGCAAGGGGAGTGTTCCGCTGGGATAGAAAGCCTTCTGTGCAGGCTGTAAGTACAATAATATCTTTATTTTTTCAGCTTTTATTGCTGCTGTGCCCATCGTGGACTACACAATCAGAGCTCTGCAAGACAGAGCGACACAGCTCACACACGTGTGCGCTCTCTCAAGGCAGCAGCACCAGCTTCCTCTCTAATCTGTGCGTTAATTTAATTATTAAACCCTAATTTTTATATTCAGACACGGTTGAGGTATCGCAGCGATATTAGATACAGTCAAGGGACACAATATTCTCAAGAAAAGGGTTTTTACCTTGTTGGGTCAGGTTGTCTGAATTATTAATGCTTTCAAACCCTGACAAAGCGAAGGACATTGGGTTTTTTTGTGCCCACCGCCGCTCTGGCAATTCCTGCACCCCACCACCCATAAACTACACTATTTGCTCTGGAGGCAAATGAAAAATGCTGCCCCCCACCCCCCTTCCCCTGCGCTAGTCCCACCCTAAGGAACAAATGTTCAGAAATTACCTGAGGCAGAGAGATTTACAGTCAGGAAGTCTCTATTCCCTGCCCGAAACGCGTCCAGAGAGGGAAAGCTCTGTGTGTGGGTTCATCCCAGTGATGCAGATCCGGAGTTTGGCATGTTCCTGAGCGTGGAGGGCACTTTTGGGGTCAATATGGCATTTAAAAAAAATTTATTTCATTTCGCGTAGGGATAAATCGAGGATTTTTCTTAAGGAAAGGCCAGAGGAGTCTGCTCGAGGAAGGGCCAGCTTGCTTGGGAAAGCTTCCTCTGCTTTTTCACTGCTTTTTTTTTGGTGTCTCAAGTTGGCTGGTGTCTCCTCTTCGGGGCTAATCAAGGAGTTCCTTGTTCGTTAGCTTTAATTGTGGCTAAGCAGCTACAGTAGGTGATCCTGAGCTCCGGGAAGCTCCCATGAGCTCCCAGCCGTGGTCTCCGCGGGGCTCAAAGCTCCGTTTTCAGCTTCTTGTGCAAATCCTTCTGGTCGATCCTGTCGGTGTTCCCGTAGCAGCGGTGGTAGGCGAGCAGGGCGGTGTTTTTGGCGGTGATGGCGCTCATCTCCATGGCGCTGGTGGCTCGCTCGATGCCTTTCAGGTAGTAGATGTTGTCATGGAGGATGATGGGAGGACATTTTTCCGGGGGGCTGTAGTGGGGGTACGCCAACCATTTCTTCACTTTGATGGAGTTGTAAGAGGAGAAAAGCAAGTTAAGCTGCTCTTTGGTGAGAACCTCCTTCGAAAAAACCTTCCAGACGGCCGATTGCAAGGGCAGCTTTCCTCCGGCACCAACGTTTTCCACGGGAGACACCACCCCCAGGCTGTTGATGAACAGTTTGGGATTTTTTCCATCGTGAAAATGGCACCGAAATGAAAGGCAGACGGATGCCGGTACCAAAGAAAGAAGCGTTTAAGCAGCCGTGCACCAATGTCGTGACGGTCTGGTGGTAAGGATTTGGGAAATCTGGGACGGGGGGTCGAAGTTTTTGAAGATGATGTTGGCCATTTTGCGGCTGAGCGGAGCGGCGATGACAATGATGTCGTACGTATCTCCCGTTGGTCCCGCTGTAGTGTTGTACGTGACGTGGTAGAGCTTCACCAGATCCCCTGGGGAGAAAAGCTCCGTTATCCTGCTCCGTGCCTGGAGGAAATCCCCTTTTCCCCTCCAACAAACATCAGGCTTTTCAAATACCATCACATTTAGGCTAATTACCCCTTGTCGTGAGCTGAAGTAGCTTTAAAAAATAAACTGGGGCTTTGAGCAGAGCCCAGTTTTAATCTTAAAAGCCCAAGACCCAGTTTTTTAAGACCCAATCTCCTGCTTCAGCCTGCCAAGAGCTGCAGCTGAGCGGCACCAGAGGCCAAGGTCGGTCTCTGGCTGTCACAGTGTGCCGTTCCCCTCCCCACCGCAGGGAAATCCAACCCAACTCACCTGCGCATCTGGGTCTGGTTTTTGGCTCAATAGACAAAACCGTCCCAGGGATAACCTCAGCTTTGGAGGCGTAGAGAAGACCAGTGCAGACCAGTTTGTTCCCCCCTTTTACTGACCAAAGGCCCGATTCCACCCCTGACAGAGAAACCACACCTACGAGGAAACCGGGATTATTAGAGAGGTTTGTTTGGTGTTGTGCTGTAGAGGAGCACCTGAAACAAAAGAGGAAAATCAGGGGGGAAAAAAATCTCTTTGGGGCACAGAGCTTGCTGAAGACCAAGGTCCTTGTTGTGGTCGTTTCACCTTCTGTACCCCTTTCCCACGGGGGGGTAACCCACCAAAACACTCGCCCACAAAGCTGTTGATGTTCCACCTTGCCCATAATTAACTCTCATGGCCGGACAAACCATCTCGTTGATGAACTTGTAGGAGAAGCTGGCTTTCTGCATGGCTTTGTCGATGGTTTGGTTCAGCATGCGGGGGAAGTCGTTCCCTCCCAGGGCGTGGAGCAGGTCCTCGTTGCTGCTGAAGGCGTAGTCGTACGTCTGGTAGCGAGAGATCCTTCCATCGGAGAGAAGAGGTTTGTGCGGGTTTTTGTATCTCAGGAAGGGAACACACAGGTTCGGTCACTGTTAATTCTCTTTTTTGGCCTCGGAAGGTGCGGAAAGAGCCTGAGAGCCTCCCGGGAGCAGCTGGGCTCATCCTTCCAGCTGAGCCCTAGCCTAAGTGGTATATGCCTAAGGAGATGTGGACCTTTGCTGTTCGTTTGCCAATCTTTCCTAACAAAAACACTTTGTGCACAGTTCTGCATTTAATTCTCTTTAGCGCTTGGATGCCACATCAATGGGACAACCCACACCGAACCCGCGTTTCCACCGCAGCCTCTTGTTATTGCTACACCCGTTTGATGATGACAGCGCTCATCTCCATCTCTTTCCTTAGGAAAACGATCAGCAACGGAGAGGGCAACCAGAGACTCCTTTCTCAACGGCGATGGGATGATTGCACCCATTTTTACAGCTCAGCAGCAGGTTTCCCACCTTTTCCCCCAGCTGCTTTCCCACCTTTTCCCTCGTAGGGACCCGACGTACCGCATGAACTTGTCCAGGATGTCATCACCCACATGTACATACGCAGGGGGTTGAGCCCGTAGCGCCAGAGGAGCTTGAGAAGGTTGACGATGTACCAGCTGCTCTCCTCGAACACGAACTCCTCCCCGTTATAAATGCCCACGAGGCTGCCATGCGCCAGGGCAACCGAGAGGCCTCGAGGAACGGGGTGAAAAAGGTGATTTAATGAAAGGTAGAGCTGGTGTTGAAATAAACTATATGACACCTTGACTTCCTGAGACAACCCGGGTGTGCTTCGATAAGGGTGAGCAATTAAAGCCTGGATCCCCGCGGTGTGGAGAGGGGAATTAGCTCCTGACCAGGAGCCAGGCAGTTATTCGCGGTGACTTTTGGACTTTCTGATGGGATTAATACATCACCCACGGGGGAAGGGGGTGTCTCATTTCCTCTGGGATGCGGGTCGCCTTTTCCTGACAGGGGTACCACAGGGGGTATGGGGGGGAGATATTGGGGGCAATATAAGAGGGGATATGAAGAGAGATATTGGG